TGCGTAGGGAAAAAGAAAGCTTCCAGCTTTGCTTAACCTGAACTATAACCCCATCTATCAAATTGGTATTCTCAGGTGAACAACAAGCACGCCATTATACTTGCTTAAAAAGCATAACCTTAAAACTCCCCTCTCCTAGATTCAGGTATAGCTCAGATACCAAGAACTGCATGCCAGTTGGCCCTTTTCACTATCACTGGATCCATGGAGGTCACAAAATAGAGGCTCTTTTTCAGGAATGAGATTTTTTAAAGAATAGATCTAAACACATTTTTTTTAAAAGCAAATAATTTAAAATCATCTGTCTCTGTAGCAAAAGCTAATTGCCATGTTAAATTTATCTGCAAAAAAAATTCACTTGTTAAACACACTATCTACCTTGGTGAGTCCATGGCTACGTTCTTTCCCATAGCCTCTTGATGCCCAATGATACTGCATGAGCAAATCCACACACAACCTGATTATTTTTCAAGAGGGTTTGTGACAGTGCATGGTGCACTTGCTTTTCACCCCCTAAAGATCAAGTTTCAAATTCTGAATAAGAGTCCCCTCTAGATATTTGTTCACATCACAAAGTCACCAAGTGCATATTTAGCATAACTGGCAATTTTTGGTCAAGAGAGCATGGAAGTAAAGTAACAGATGAGCTGCAAACTGGGAACGCAGTGGACTCGCTGAGTTGTGTAGGAGACAATCACTTTTATCTCCACCATCAAGAGTGTTTAGGTTTCAGAGTAGCAGCCGTGTTAGTCTGTATCCGCAAAAAGAAAAGGAGGACTTGTGGCACCTTAGAGACTAATAAATTTATTTGAGCATAAGCTTTCGTGAGCTAAAGCTCACTTCATCAGATGAGTGTTTAGGTGTTTCACAGAACATAAGAAGACAAGGCCTCTGATCTGAAGAGCTTACAATCTAAACAGAAATCTACAGATGGAGGACAGGAGACCGCATACAACAAAAAAAGTGAAAGGACTGAGCTGTGATGTTTTATCATGTCTACCTAGTTGCTTTATTTGTCTACATTATTTTGTCCATCACCAGTTTTGTTCATGCTTCTCTAACCAGCACCCCATCTGCTTGCTGCCAAGTTAATTCTATTTTTGGTTTGAAAATTAGTATATGTACACATCTATGCAGGAAATATTTAGATAGGGTATTACAGGTAATCATGGCAGATAGCAAGTGGGTACACAGCTGCATGTTTAGGACAGAAGTGAAACAGAGAAGAACGTCATCCACATGCATGCGTATACAGAGTCACTGGGCATTCAGGGGAAGAAAACGGAGATCACATAATGACGTTTAAATAGGCAAATAAACAGCTTTACAAAGATATATAAAAGTTATTGCCATTATTATTATTATGCAGACGCAGGCAGCTGTCTGACTTTGCAGATGTGACCTACATAAGTTACAGTAACCTCTTGGCAAGCCCTAGCCAAACACACCCAGATGGCAGCTCCCCCCTTACATATCCCCATAAACACCCAAAGCTAAGGCTGCAACTCCCTTCACACAGTGCAACTCCTCTCTGTGCAACTCCCTTCACACAGTATCCTTGTGGAATTGGGGGGAAGCAATTCCCTCCTCTCTCTGTTCACACTGTACCTCAGGCTGAGGGCACTTCCCCGTATCTCTGTCCCACACACTGAGCCCAGGGGAGAACCCCTACTTTCAGTGCCTTCACAGGCCTGAAGCAATTCTCTCTCTCTCACCCCCCCCCCGCCGCAAGGGGTGCCCAGCCCTGATGCCCAGGTCCCCCCACTCTTTTATACCCCTCTCCTCAGTCAAACTCTTGACAGAGCCCCAGGGAGCTGGGTGCCCGTCTGGACAAGGCTCTCAAACCTGCGGAGGGGGGAGCACACAGCCTGACCAGAGAAGGGCTCCCTCTGCCAGGGCAGTGGGATACATGGGGTAACTCGCCCATCTCAGCCCTGGGGGGGTGGGGTGCCGGGGGCAAGTCCCCACGCTCTATGCCCCCTTCCCAGCCCCCGGGGGGGCGAGGGATGTCGGGGGGGCAACTCCCCCCTCCCAGCCCCCGGGGCGGGGGGCTAACTCCCCCCGGGCCCCTGCTCACAGCCCGGCTGACTGGTGTACATGGGGCTCCCTCGCCCTGCGCCGCCATCCCCGGGCCCTGGGGGAGGCTGAGGCTGAGCCCGAGCCCGGGGCCGCCGCTCACTTACTCTGGGCCCCAGCACCAACAGCAACGCGCCCAGGCTGAGGAGGCAGCGGCGGAGCAGGGCCCGGTGCGGGGGGCGGCCGCCCCGCTCCATGGTTCTGCACCGGGGGCTCAGCGGCGCCCGGCCGGCTCAGCGGCTCCCTGGCTGCGCCGTGATGCAGCGTGTCCGGCCCCCCTGGCCCCTGCGGGGCGGAGCCGGGCCGGGCCAGGCCGGGGAAGGCCACCGACGTCAGCCCCGGCAAAGGAGGTGGAGCAGACTGGGAGGGAGCCAGGCCCGGGGGCTGAGCCAGGGCGAACACGGGGACTTTGCCCCCAGCCCCGAGCTGCAGACGGGGACACCGTTTTATTGCGCCCGGGCGGACACGGGCGATTCCCCCTGAACCCATGCAGAGGGACAGCCACAGTTCTGTACTCACCTTCCCGTTAGCCTTGCAGCTCCCATGAATGCTGCTCTCCTTCGTGGGAGCTGCAAAGCTAGCGCAAAGTGCGTTGAGCTCGAAATATGTACCCATCGCATGATATTATCTAGAGCAGTGCTACTAAAGTGGTGGTCCGCAAACCGGTGCCGGTCCACGAGCCATCGGCAGCCGGTCTGCGCGCACATTGGAGGGCGGGGGTGGGAATTGCCCGTCCACCACATCAGAAAGCTTGAGAAGCACTGCCCTAGAATACATCAGCTCTGACAGTTCCCTTGTTAAAACTCTCTTTCAGTATTTGGGTGGTGGGGTGTACTGGTCTAAACTGCAAGTTTACATACTTTATACGTGCTCGAACCAAAAATCACACCAGAGCTTCAACACTCTGATCAATCGCTTATTCAAGGCAATTTATTGTTTTGGATGTGGGCTCCTCTGCATAAGAATTTAAAAAGTAAAGTACATATATACTCTGCACGGCCACATTTTCAGTACCAGCAGCACATTTTCATTAGTGTGTGCCATTACAAGTGCCTGTTCAAATGAATATTTAGACGTCTACATTTCCATTTGTACATACAGTAACTGCACACATGACCACTTAAGGTGGGCAAGCCTAGATGTAAAAAAAAAAAAAAAAACCCGTGTATTTTTAAAATGACCTTGAAGTACTATTTCTTTGAAAACTGCCTCAAAGATCCCGTGAGACAAGAAGGATGAGGTAATTCTTTAAGAAAAGGGATTTGCTCTGCTTTGCCTGTCTTCAAAGTTTTCTGCAGCACCCCACCATTGTTCCATGGGACATATGCTTCTTGGCAACTTCCCTCCACCCCAGAGATGGCAGCATTTTAGTGGGTTTCTATGTTGATGGTTCTAAAGAGCTGTCAGAGCCTTTGGGATGAAAAGGGATATAAAAATGTCAGATATTATTGCCTTCCATGTTTAAACTTGTTATATATTGTTTCATATCTTTGCATCATTAGTTCATTGCCTATAATTCTTATTATTCATGTTCTGAAATTAAATTTCACTTTAGATTGAAATGATACATGCAGAGATGTCAGCTATGTAGTTCACATGCACATATAGTACATATTAAAACAATTTACCTTTTAGAATGGCTCAGCAAAAGTTTGAATTTCACATATGAGAAAACAGTCTTCAAAAATATGGAATATGAAAAAATAAAAATATGGAAACTCTTGCAAAAAATAAGCAAATAAACTGGAATCAACATTGTACAATAGCTATGAAAAACAGAGCTATGAAAAACAGCATGCTTAGAAAATGCTTTATGTTTAATAAAAAGAAAACTCTTTTCTCTGGGCACAGTTAAAGTACATTTAGAAATGATCAACTCCCGCAAAGGAGAAATTAGGATGACATCAAATTCTGGAGTGGAGGTGCATCTCCAACTTCTCTTTATCTACTTTACCAGTTTCCATTGTAGATAGTTAGTGACTGGTCCCCCTACTGGGCAAAACACATCCTAGACATTACAAATGTTTTAGATCACAAGTAATGTATTAAAACTTATGTTCTTAACATGTACAACTGCTGATAGAGATTAGCATGAGTATGTGAAAAACGACCTTACTGTTTTTCCTACTTATTTAGGTGTGCATGGGACTTTAAACACATACAGCAAACAACGAGGTCACACTCCTTAGCATCCACATAAAGGCCTGAACATGAAAATTCTGCACAGAGAATGGCTGGACTTCTATATAAGACAGATAACATATAATGGCAACTGACCACAGAGATAGGGATTGTTCACAGGAAATAAGGTGAAGGGAAGACAGTTCAATATGTGGGATTTATGCATCTCCTCATTTAGCCATCGTAATCCTGAAATCCACGCCTATTAAAAAGCTTATTTCCCAGGGTCTCAGAACTGGTGTTTTTTAACCCAAGGCAGGCAGGATAAATGCCTCTGTTGGGGGTGGAGGGGGAAATCAAGAGAGCAATGCTCATTGGGTTTGGAGCTGGTTAATCTAAGCAAGGTCTGGCGCCCTCACGGGTCCCAGGTGCCTCGATGCTACCTGGTCTGACTCAGCCAGGCTTGGCCCAGCATGGTACAGCCAAGCTCAGCTATGTTCAACCCAAAAAGAAAAGGAGTACTTGTGGCACCTTAGAGACTAACCAATTTCCAAGGCCCCGCCCCGGCCTACTTCGAAAGGGCACCGTTAGCCCACGGTGCTCTGGTTCACACCAGCTAGATGCGGTTAGCCCCAGACCAACCAATCCCCGCGCGCTCCGGTTTGGGCCTAACTGGCCCAATACAGCCCCGCCCCCTCATCATTCCCCCACCTTCCCCCGGCCCCGATCGCGCGAGACCCAGCCACTGACGTCAAACGGCCGTGTGTCCTGAGACTTACATGTCATTGGTTGCTGAGGAGAAGGGGCGGTGCCTGTTGAGGCGCCCGAACTATAAATGTTGGTGGGCGGCGACGCTCCGCCTTTCGCTCTGCCTAGAGGGGTCGGGGTAACGCTGGAGGTGAGCGGCGGTGGCAGGGCCCAAATCCGCTTGAGGAGATGGGGGGTAGATGGGGCCGGGTCGGTGTGCCGTGGAGACGAGGAGGACTAGTGGCGGGGGCGGTGAGGTGTCCCGTTGGCTCGGAGAAGGGGGGTGTCTGGCGGGGGGAGACCCATGGCTTGGGGCGGGCCGTTTGCTCTGGCGGTTGGGGAGGGAGGCGGGGTTGGGGGGGTCCCGCCCGCGGCGGGCGGCGGCCGCTCCGGCAGTGGCGAGGGGGGCACGGAGGGCGGTGGCCCGAGGGGGCGTCGGTCTGGCGCGGGGGTTGGGGGAGGGGTTCTGCCCGCGGCGGGAGGCGGCCGCCCTGGGGATTGGGGGGGGGGGAGGGGGTGTCCGTCCCACCGGCGCCGGCTGCGGTGATGATTCTCCTTACACGTGTTAGACTTCTGACGCGGATGAAGTGAAGCCGAGTCTGAGCCCCCGGCGCCGGGTTCCTCTGGCCCAGGCGGGCCATGGCGCCCTGCCTTCTCTTGGGCTGCGGGTTGAGCCCGGCCCTGCACCCAGACGCGCGTTGTGGTCGCCGAGGAGTCGGGGCCCTGCGCTCGGGCTGCGATCCTAACAGGGCTCCTGTTCCTTGCAGGCACGACGGGAGCCGCCGGCCTGGGACCTATGCCCTGGAGACCTGCTGGCCCATTGCCAGCTGATTGGCTCGGTGTAAAGGGTGAGGAGAACGGTTAATAAAACAGTAGAAAAAATTGTCTGTTTCTTTATTGTGCTCTCCAGCACTGTCTTTGAACTGGTGAAGTGGCCAACTCATAGCTTCACTGGCTAAGCAACAGTGCAACAGGAAAAGCTTGTTCATAACTGGTGCTGCTTAGTTAAAATCTGAGTGGCTCTTTTAAGAGCAAGTAACAATCCTGTTACTGTACTGCTTAAATCTTAAAGACTATAATTAAATTCCCCCTTTGCTGAATGAAATTTCCTCTTCCTAGAGGCCTCCTACTGTTGGCAGTGAGGACACTGGAAAGACAAACACCTGTCTCATTAAAGTTAAGATCTCTCCTTGGCTGCATGACTTGTCTTTTGATGTCCTGTCCATAGGACATTGGCACTGCAGAATAGGCATAACCCTTCATAAAATTAACTCTTCCCATGACTACCTAGGAAGTTCTGTTACTTCTACAATGCAGCTTGTTCTAAAGTGGCCAATACACTTGGAACTGGTTGTACTTACAGAAATGTACATTTCTTCCAGCTACTTTGAAACCAAGAGGCTAGCAAATGCTTGGATGAAGGACTATAAAACAGCAACTTCAAGTGACTAGGTTTCAATGGGAAAAAATGAAGGTAGCATCAGCTATAGCACACTTGAAGGGGGGTGGTGTATAATATACAATTTTGCATTATATATGAGGGGGTAGAACAGCTTGCACCCATGTAGTCTAATCTACACTTGTGGTACCCCATTGCTTGCTACACAGTTGGCTCAGTAGAATACAGAGCTGGCTTAAGGGTGGAGGGGGAAGGGCAGAGCAGAACTGGGTGGTGCTCCCTGCCATATACCCCCTGAACAGTCCTCTGCCCCCTGGGGGATTTACATGAGCAATAAAAATGGTAAATTATTAAGCTTTAAGCAGTGGGTGAAAACTGAAATGCATTCAAACTGGAAGGATCTTAATTATGAGAGAAATAAGGCTAATAGGACAACTGACCAAAGCTTTTGGACAGTGAAATAAGATGCAGTAGATGCTACCACACTGAAATAAATGCTAGATGTGGATAGGGAAAGAATTTTTTGTTTCCCATGCATCAGTTTGGTTGTCTCCTAATTCTATAGTAGCTTTAAGATCTGTGTTTTCCCCAAGTTTGGCTTCACTAGTTTTCCTGCAAGGAAGATCTAGCAGAGGAATGATTAAGTTGTGTAAACAGTATTTGAACCACACCATTTTTCTTTTTGCGGATACAGACTTAACCCAGCTGCTACTCTGAAACCTGTCATCACAGCAGTGTGTAACTCAAAACTTTGATTTTAAAGCTTTTATTTTCAAAGCCAGAACAATACATTTTTTAAATCACTTACCCTAAAGCATCAGTCTCCATAGTCTCATAGTGCAGCTTGAATTGAACATACTTTCCTCCAGAAATTCATTTTTATTGTAACAGGGAGGTACCACATGAAAGTGACTTCCCAAATACATCTTTTGAAAACATCTTGCACAAACTACTGGTCAAACATAATTATGCAGAAATAACTTACAAGCTATGTAATGTGTCTGACATGGGATAACTTTATTTCAGAAAACAAAGCAAGCCAATTGTAGTTACCCACATAGTTTGATGAGGAAGTGCAATATAACAATTGTGTAACAAATCTGGATATCTTTACACATTAGTGCATCTAGTCCTTTGACTTATTAGTTATTGCACATAGAAATTTAAATCATATAAAAGACCTGCGTACAAGACATGCAGACTTCATGAAAGGCAAATAATGCCGATGTAGTAATGAGCGCAATACCAGAACCGTATATACAAACTGGAATGGTTACAGGAGTTTAGGTAACAAATATAACCTGCTAATATTGCAATTAAAAGTAACCAAAAATAGGTGTTCAAATATAGACTTAATTTTTAAATATATTAAATGCTAATTTTATTTATGATGTTTCAGGCAAGGTGCTGTTTAAAAAAAATCTTCACTGATAGCTTCATTTAGAGCTGGTAAATAATCAAAAGTTACACAAGATCATTCTGATTTACAACAAATAGGTCTGAACACAATATACAAAGTTCTTAAAAATTTACTTTTCAAAAGAAAAAAAGCAAATTATGCTATTCAAAGGGGAGCTACAAAACTCACCTTTGTAAACAAACATTCTGACAAATACATGAACAGTTGGCAACACTGAGAAAAAAGTCACATTAAATATCAGATATGTAGTGTTCAAATAGTTATTGATTTAATGCATACATTTAATCTCCACACAGGATAGAAATAAAAAGGCAGTTTTTTTCTCATAGTTTTGGCCATTTATTAGCAGAAACAGTCCTTAAATCTGTCATAACCAGTTTGTGATCAGCCTGAACAACTTCAAATGCTTGAATTCCTATTTCACATACAAAACTGAAGTAAACACACAGATGTCAAAATCTCCCTTCAGTTACAGCTACCAATCCTCACCAGCATCAGGTGATTTGAAGTCACTGGGGATGCATGGCTATCACTGATCAGAATTTAGTCCCATGCTTTGCATGTAAACACTCGTGTCTCAGGAAAACACAGCAACAAAAACTCCTATGAGAATCCCACAGTTTATTTCATTGTATTAGAAGCTCCATAGACAAGTAGGGTAACTATTTCTGGTAAGTATGTGCAGTTTTAGACATTTTCATGTGTGCTCATATCTTTAAACATTCAGAATTAATCACAAACCATGGTGATTGTACCTCACTGTGAGGCAGGCTTGCTATGGTTTGGTCTCATGGCTTTGCCAAATGCTTTCTTAAATCACAATAACCCCACCAATTCCCACCTTCACTGATATTTGTGAGTGTGTGTTTTATGGCTACTTGCTTCCCAAAAAAGCACTAACTTGGTATGAAAAAATAAGTTAATATGTATACCCCACCTAAATGGATTCAAAATATTACCTATACATCCAATTTACATTCTTTTCTCCTGAAAGCATTTCATATTTCAATTGCTTGACACAAGCTATTGACTGCAGAAGTGAAAGAACATAAAACAGTTCATTCTACACCTCCAACTGCCTGAGAGAGAAAAATAGTCTTCCAGTTGTATACATTTGTTCCTGCCAGAGGATTTGGCATGCAGTTCCTTTAGTGCAAAAGAACCACCCTTCAATGCAGCAGCATGATGTATGAACACAAACTGACCACAATTTGTGTCATCAAGCTCCTTGATCTATTACAATTAGATTTTTTTTTTCTTCAGAACAGGTCATCTTAACCTCAGTTAAAATCCTGACAGCAGCCATTACAAAATAAATCAACTTATAAATGGAATGAAACTTTGTATAAGTGCAGTAAACAGGAACAATAACCAGACATGTTGAGCGCAAAGAAATGGTTATAGGCAGTCCTCTTTAAAAAGATGTGGCACAAGTTAAGGACAAAACTACTGCACAGTTTAAAAAACCATGAAAATAAATTTCTTAATACTGTACACTGCAAATCTTCACATTTCATGGTTGATCAGCAGCCTCTGTGACTGGATCTTTTGAAGGGCACGTAGATGAGCGGGGATCCATGGCTGAGTGCATTAGAGGAATATAAACATCATCCATGTTTGGCATGACAAAAATTTTCTGTGAAATAAAGGCAAAATTAAATGCAACTTAGTTTAACGTGTCATTCAACATTTTGGGGTTTCTGATTAGCATCATTCAAAAGTAAGTAACATACTTAAAATCAATTTCAGTTTCCCTGGGTTGGCCAGAATTTGATGCAATTTGTACATGCAAACTCCGCAGTGCCTACCAGTCACAACAGTTTGGTTAATATGTGAACTATACCCCATATTCTTCATGGTAAGTATGATAGGATTATAGCATAATTATTGTGTATTTTATGCAAAACAGGTCATGTGAGGGGTCATTGAAAAAGTTATGATTTGCCAAATATCCTATTTGTATGCATGTATCATTTTTGTATCTAAAGTTAGAAATATTGACTATGTAGCTGTATTTCATTCGTGCTTACTCTGGGTGACACCCACAACTAGCCTTTCTGGTACAACAGTGAAGAAGCCAGACAGTGCTAATGGACCCTGGAATAACTTAACCTTCCTGTGAACATTCCAAACAGCCTGTAAGTAATAGCTGCTATGACTGCACAAGGACATGTGAGCAGGCCACATGATTCTGGACTCCATCTTGGGATGTCCGTATTTTTCCACAAACCAGTCTGAAAGCCAAGTTTTGAAACAAAAGGTTCCCACCATATGCTACAGCAATATAAGGCAGGGAGTGACATCATCTGTTATTCTTCACTCCCCACACAGAAATATTCCTGGTAACACCTGAGTAACAAGAACTGAACTGGGGGAACTGCTCGACCAAAGCTAAAGGGATTTCTTGCTTTTGTATGAAGACCTGAGAAACCCAAGCTGTAAAACTAATGCAGCTTGTGCCTTAAGACTCTACAAGTCTGCCTGTACCATCAGTTAGGGTGAGATTCTGCTGTTCATATCCAATCTATCTAGTATATTAAACTTAGGTTACAATTTTGTTTATTTGCTAGGTAATCTGCTTTGATCTGTTTGCTATCACTTAAAATCTATCTTTTGTAGTTAATAAATTTATTTTATGTTTTAATCTAAGCCATCGAGTTTGGAGTGAAATGCACAGGAATCTTAGCTCAGAGAGGCTGTTGTATATTCCTCTCCACATTGGGGGGAGGGAGGGGAGCGAGCTCTATGAGCTTATGCTGTACAGCGCAAGATGGTATAATTTTGGGTTTATGCTCCAGGGGGGTGCATGCCTGGGGAGCTGAGAGTTACCTTGGCTTTAGCCTTCCTACTGTTGGTTCGTGCAGTGGCTACTCAGAGAGCCCGCATGTAACTGCAGCTGGTGTGTCCCCTACCTATGTTTATGCTGGTGCAGCAGGTCAGCAGTTTGTCACAGCTGGAGTGTAAGGGAGACCCCAGGCTGGTGGCTCAGAGGGCTCAGCGGTACCCCAATTCCAGGTGGCACCCCATGGGGGAACCCGTCACAGTATAAACCAATTAATTGCAGATTAGACATTAGGAAGTGCTGAGATCCCTGCTCATTTATTACTCAATGAAGGGCCAAAGGGAAGTGCCTGTTTCCCCCCACCCCCGCCCAGCATATACCTCATTGCAGTTCCTTTCAAGCAGAATTCAAGGTGGCAATTTTGATCTAGCCAGTCTGCCTGATAGGTTTGTGTCATAGATAGTCAAGAGACTCTCCCACTCTTTGGACCATCCTGGAAATGTATATCCATTGGGTTGATCAGTTGGCCAGATTTTCAGCAGCGCTCAGCACCTAGTAGTTCAGCTGGATGCCGACCACTTTTGCAAATTGA